GTTTAACACTTTCCGTATAAATAGTTTAACTATAACTGTAAGAATTTGACTTATTGGAAATTATACAAAACGTCCAACTTATAAATTCGAATTAAATTTTTTCACATTTACTTATATTTACATTTTGTATTACCTAGAATATTGTACTAATACTTACAAATTGACTATTTTGTGCATCTTCCGAATCGATTACTAAAAATGGTCGCATCCAAGCCTCACGTGTCTTAATTGCAAGCGTAATTGTAATATAATTTTGCTGCAGCCAAAATGGTAGTTTGTGTTTAACTTCGAATTGTACCCATTGTCCTAATCCCGCTGGTATGTGATGATGACTCTCTACTAATTTTAACGTATGTGTGCGGTTTTGATAGTGCGAACCTCGCGCGACATGATGGATCATGATTATTAAGTCACGACTTCCCATAGTCCTACCATTAACAACTGTTTGTTTCAATATTCCGGGATAATGTTTTCTCATCCAATCCCGACCACGTATGTAAAGATGAATAATCGTACGAACTATTGTTAAATGGCTGTGATCAAATTTAAAATTGATTACATCCCATCTACGATTGTGACGCATTCGAGAAACTTTAAATATAAAAAATTTCAAATCAAAATACTCAGACGAAATCTTATGTACATATATATGTGAGACTACTTAAAGCAAGAAAAAACTTTAACTTAGACTGCACCGAAGCTATAATATTCTTTACATGTACATTTTTTATAGCAACTAACTAAGTATACATATATAGTACATACATATATAACTAAATCAAAAAGCGTAGCCGGCCAACGTTTTTCTAGTTCTTTCTAGCCACGTTATTTGATGTCAACAACCCTCAAATCCTACTAAGATTACTCAATAATAAAAATAACAAATTTATATTGATTTTTATCGATCAATTTGAATTACAGTTAGATATATGTTATAGTGGTCCCATCTGAAACATTTATTTGAAAATTGCATAATAATTCAAGGCAGCGTGAAGATATCTCTTCGAAAGTTTTCTATACACGGTTGGATGCTATAATTGTTCGATAGCAGCTTTTCGGATGATTGTGACTTCGGAGGACGTGTTCAAAATTTCCAGTCGGCATCTTGAAAGCTGAGAAACTAGTCATGCCTAAATCGAACCAGCTCGTCCCGCTGACTCTTTAATTTGATATTAAATAGCATATTTATAACGTTTTCACAACAGCCACGGTTTCAAAGGAAGATGGATGTTATTTAAATATGCTACATAAATCAGAAAGAAAATGTACATATTCGCAAATATGTGCCAAAGAAAATTTCTAATTGTATTATATATGTATAATATGTATGTAGGAAGCAGGAAGGCTTTTTGCTCTCAAAGATTTGCAAACTCTATTCCGTTCTTTAAAATCCCTCCAAATAAATACTGTTTCCCTTGTCAGTTAAATGTAATACGTAAATATGCATTTGCAACAGCAAAGTTGTTTATCCTCTAAGAGATGTTGCCAATGTGCCAATTTTGCAAACAGAGAGACATAACAAAATTATTCGTATACTTGTTATATGAACTGCAAAACAACCGGTGGGACTGTCGATAGTATGTATGTATGTATTTAACCGATAGAGCACTTGCAAGGATGGTAGTCTCAAAATCATCTTTTCGTTCTCGGCTTGGTTGCGCGCTTTTCTTTTCAAATTTGTAAGTATAG